AATGTGAGAGTTAGCCCAGCTATAACTCAGAGTCAGACAGATTTTACCCTGGAAGAACTGCACGTGAGTTTCAAGTTCTAGGAATCACTCGATTTACTTAGGGTAAGCTTGAGACTTTTCCTATAAGCCTTTAGTGTTGTTATGCTAAGTTGTCCAAGTTCTACTCCTGTATTGGTTTATTGGTTACTTGTTTCTTCTTTATGGTTATTGTTCTAGTTTTCTAGACCCAAGTATCTATGTTGTGACTTCCTCTTTGTCTCAGGTTTTAGGATACTGCCCCTCGTACCGTGCTCGACTTCTCCATGTTTATTGTTTTTCACCCTGTAATTAAAGTTCTTTGTGGGAAACTCCATCGAACCCACTCCTTTTCATTTTTTCCACCCTTGCCCTGCTGAAGTCAGGGACTCAGAGAGGTTTGTCACAGCCACCCTCATTGTGACATCTGGCACCCGAACAGGGACCATGACATTCAGGGCTCCTTGTGTCAGTCACGTCAGCTGGGGTTAGCTGATGGATAGGTCAGTGCTCCCCGGGATTTTGGATTTTGCAGGCCTGGCGGATTCATTGCTGCTTCGAGGGACCTAGGCCCGGGATCGGCAGGGGCAAAAACGGTTTCACCTGCATAGGATAGCAGGTGGGTTTGGGGAAATGCTAGACATTTATTGCCCATTTTGCCACTGTGTTTTTACAATATGCACCCAAGTCCCATTATTTATTTGGTGTGCTCTGGTGGCTGTTGCCCCTAAGGTGGAGAAGGAGAAAAATGGGCAGCTAGATGTCCAAAGTAGAAAGGAGCATATATGGATGCTTTAAGTTAATTCTAACAGATCGTGACAAAATATTTTCAAAGAATAAATTAAAATCAATCATGAGGTGGATCATTAAAACTTTTCCAGATGCCTCTGCTGATGAAATCCATACCATTGAATTTTAGGACTCAGTGGGACTTAAACTGTAAAACCTTTCAATCAAAAGGGAGCCCATTGCAGCCCACATGCTCCCCATCTTCCCTACCATCCTTGAGACCCTTCACCAGCAAGCAATGTCTCAAAAACTCAATCCGTTGGTCACTCCTAACTCAGGACCTCCCCTCAAACGTGCCTTTCTCACACCTTCCACAATGGTCCAAGATGGCAATGGCCACGTGGTCTTGGAGCATCATGCCCTGGAGACTCAAGATGGAAGGAGCCTGAATGTGGCTTGGGAGCCGGATCATCCTCCCTCCATCTTGGCTCCTCCACTTCCTGCTACCACAACCTTCTCTTCCGCCCTGAACAAACCTCCAGACTCCATCCCCACAACTGTAGGTCATGTCACCACTGTCAATCATTCCACTTTCACCCTGGGCAATGCCTCCAGAACTCTACCCAGGAAGTCCACCATTGTAAATCAAGGCCCTTCCTCCCCAACACCTGACAAAATGGCAGTGCCCTTTGCCTCATCCTCCAGCAATAATATAACCCCATGGTCACAGATACTAAGTCCAACTGTCACACTATTTCTAATCCAAATGTTTCTCCTCCAAGTTATTCTTCCTCCCCGGAAGACAGTTTGGATTCCCCAGAGCCACTTTTCCCCTCAACCCCAGAAGATCCCCAGGAAAGGATCCAGAAAGAAGCAGTTAAGGAAGGACACTGTCAAAGAGTCTCAAAACCCCTCATTGCCCCTGTATGTTATGAAAGAAGGGGGCAGAATCCTAGCTATCAGCCATTGGTTTACAGGGAAATCAAGGATCTGTGTAGGGCAGCTAAAGACCATAGGATGGACTTACTTGTTTTAATGGCCTAATGAGGGCCATGTTTACAGCACATCATAACTCCCTATGATTTAAAATGTATTAGGACCATGTTGTTGTCGCCTACAGAATACAACCTGTGGGAAGGGGGATGGAAGTGTTTACTAAATCAATTAAGAGCAGACTATGCTAATAATGAGGCAAGGGCAGAATTGACAATCAACCATCTAGCTGGAGAAGGACAGCAAAGCCGACTAGATGATCAAGCAGCAGGTATCCCCAGAGAAGTATTGGATGATATCAAAGAGATGACTTTGTAAGCTTTAATCCAGGTATCGCATCATAGTACCCCCATTTTGGACTACCTTGGGTGGCTGCAGCTAAATCTTTAGGACAATCAGACCATCTTGGGTGCCTGTTAAGTAAGCAAACCAATGCTACTCCCTCACACTGAGTGGCCTGCTCTCAGACATAGAGACCATCAGACATGCCACCTTGCAGAACAGCGATAGAATTTTTATTCTGGGCACATGGGCATGGCTGTGTAGACTCTGAGGGCATGTGTTGCCTGAACCTCTCCAGCCAGAGCAAGTCAATCCACAAGAGCATTCAAGTACTGAATGAAGAGTTCAAGAAGCTTCAAGTGGAAAACAAAGACTGGGTCAATGAACTCTTCCAATTCAAGGGACTAAAGGGTTGAATGATGTCTAGCTAAAACAGGACATTTAATTTTCTTAGCTGTTGTTGTATTGTTAATTGTCTGATGTTTGTTTGAAAGCTTTTAGAAGGTCTTACAAAATTCTTTCAGTGCCATCTTCGTTGTAAAACAGAAAGAGGGAAGATACCCAACACAGGCTCCTCATGGACTCCTTGGAGGAGAGAACTGGAGGTCAGGATGGCACAAAAACCTCTCAGAGACTCAGTGTGGGCAAGGAAATCCTTAAAAGTACCTAAAAGTATTCTTAAATCCATAAAGTACATTAAAAACCTTAAGTATCTAAAGCCATTAATGAGCCCCACTGAGTGTCAGTACAAAGCTCTCCAGGGACTCGTTAAAACAGAGAATTGGGGCCATGATTGCACAAACCTCTCACAGAGTCAGTATCAAAAGGGAAACAACAAGTACCTTAAAATAACTGAAGTAGCCTGAAGTACTAATGAGCCCCAATGAGTGTTGTTACTGAAAAGCCTCTCCAGGGATTAATTACAGCAGATAATTGGAGGCCATGATTGCACAAACCTCTCAGAGACTCCAAGGCAAAAGCCAAACCCAAAGTCCTTTGAAAAACCTGCAGTCCCTACAAGGAGCATTAAGGATTCCCCAGGGCCATCGCTGAGCAAGGCTCCCCAGGGACTCCTTCCAGCAGATCCTTGAGGCCCCTGGGATTTGGGCTAGAGGGGGATGCTGAGGGCAGGACAAGGGGCTGACAGTGCCCAGCCTGGCTGGGGCTGTGCCAGGAGGCCTCAGTGCCTCAGGACAAGGTGTCTCCTCACAGCCCTTGGTGGCACCGACACTGCTGTTCTCCAGGGCACAAAGACTTGCCTTCTCTTTGTCCCCACCTGTTATCACTTCCTCCAGTTCTCTGCTCTGCCTGGGACCTGGGGACACTTTCTCAGTCGTGTCCCTCAGTGGGACCCATTACAAGTCCAAGAAACTTTGGAGTTGGATTCTGACTTGGAGTTCTGGAGAGGTTTCTTCAGCTCCCTCTCAGGGACTGATGTTCAGGGCCTGAGCACAAAGCCCCAGAGGCTCATTAAAGTTCTTGTGCTGTGTCTGTGCTGCTGAGCTGGGCTGGGCTCCTGGCACAGAGGCAGCTCCTGGTAACCAAGAAGAGCTTCAAAAGCACATTTCTCTTGATGAGCAGCTCTTCTGCCAGCCCAGCAGGGCTGGGGCACTGCCTGCAGCCATCCCGGGCACAGCACAGAGGCACAGAGAGCTTCAATCAGTCAGGGCTGGGAAGGTGCTGAGAAGTGCCTGGGGCAGAATCACTGCCAGCCCTTGGCACAGGAACCTCTGGCTGCAAGACAATGCAGCTGCAGCTCCTGGAGCCATCTCCCAAAGCTGGAACATCCCAATGCCTACAGACCCTGTGAGTACATTCTCTGATTGTCTCTTGTGCAGAGCAGCCAGGGGTGCCCAGGGCTGTCCTGCAGAGCAGGGTCCTGCAGCCCAGGGTGCTGTGCTGGGGCAGGGACTCTGCTGCCTGCCAGGGACAGCTCTCAGCAGCCCTGGCAGCTGCTTCCAGCACTGGGGGACAAGGTTTGGGTGGGAGGAGACAGCTGGTAAGGCTTGAAAGTGTTCTCCTTGTGTGGTGATGATGCTGCATTGTTCAGGACTGCTCCCAGCATGACATTTAACTGTAGAATATTTCCAAGTAGATTATACAGGAAGCAGAGCAAGGCTGGGGCTGCATAATTTGGAAAATCCTGCTTTTTAAATCTACTGCTTTCTGTTGCCAGGATGAAAAATTGCACATTGATATTAATCTCTTAGTTAAGGTTCAGAAAAAGAAAATAGCTTTTTCTCAGATCTTACTAAGCCAGGCAGTGACAGAAACCTGCACAGGGCCCCCTAGAAGATGCATCAGTTTTGCTTTTTCAGCCTCCTCAGTGTTTTTCTGACAGAGCCATCAGAGCCTGGAGAGCCAGAGCTGCCCCTGGGCAGTGCCTGAGCTGGGAGGGTTCTGCAGGGCAGAGCTGAGCCCCCAGGGCTGGGCTGGGCTCTGGCAGCACTGGCAGGGCCCAGCCCTGGGCACAGGGAAGCAGCTGCTGGCAGGGACAGGTCCAGGCAGCAGAGCCCTGGGCAGGCAGGGGGGGGAAAGTGCCCCCAGGCTGTGCTGGGATATTTAAAGTCCTCTCCAAACCCAAGTATTCCATGAGTACTTTTCTTACAGATCCCCATGCCAAGATACCATAGGAAATGTCCAACTGCAGCTCCATCAGGCAATTCCTCCTGCTGGCATTGGCAGACACACGGCAGTTGCAGCTCCTGCACTTCTGCCTCTTGCTGGGCATCTCCCTGGCTGCCCTCCTGGGCAACGGCCTCATCATCAGTACAGTAGCCTGCGGCCACCACCTGCACACGCCCATGTTCTTCTTCCTGCTCAACCTGGCCCTCACTGAACTGGGCTCCATCTGCACCACTGTCCCCAAAGCCATGCACAATTGCCTCTGGGACACCAGGAACATCTCCTACAAAGGATGTGCTGCACAGCTCTTTTTCTTTGTGTTCTTCATCTCAGCAGAGCTTTCCTTTCTGACCGTCATGTGCTATGACTGCTACATGTCCATCTGTAAACCCCTGCACTGTGGGACCCTCCTGGGCAGCAGAGCTTGTGCCCACATGGCAGCAGCTGCCTGGTCCAGTGGCTTTCCCAATGCCCTCATGCACACGGCCAATACATTTTCCCTGCCCCTGTGCCAGGGCAATGTCCTGGGCCAGTTCTTCTGTGAAATCCCCCAGATCCTCAAGCTCTCCTGCTCCAAATCCTACCTCAGGGAAGTTGGGCTCATTGCAGTTAGTGTCTGTTTGGTATTTGGTTGTTTTGTGTTCATTGTGTTCTCTTATGTGCAGATCTTCAGGGCTGTGCTGAGGATCCCCTCTGAGGAGGGACGGTACAAAGCTTTTTCCACCTGCCTCCCTCACTTGGCTATTGTTTCCCTGTTTTTCAGCACTTCCACATTTGCTTACCTGAAGCCCCCCTCCATCTCCTCCCCACCCCTCAATCTGGCCCTGTCAGTTCTATACTCAGTGATGCCTCCAGCCCTGAACCCGCTCATCTACAGCCTGAGGAACCAGGAGCTCAAGGCTGAAGTGTGGAGACTGATGACTGGATGCTTTCAGGAACATTAATTAAATTGATGGCCAATTGCTGCAAACCACTTGTAACAGAAGTCATCTTACTGTTGGTTTGATTGTATGGGGTTTTTTTCCTTTATATTTGTTTTCTCATATTGTCCACAAATAAATGTTTTTGTTTGTGCCATTTCTCATTTTTTTTCTCTCCAACTTCCCTAAGGCCACAGACTTTGTCAATGAGGGGTTGCGCTCTGGGTGACTTTAAAGGAAATAAAGGATGTCCCAGCCAAGTTTTCTGCAGAGATGCCCTTGTGTTGCTTTCTCTGGAGCTGCAGCAGCAATGTCTGTGTGCAGAGCTGAGGACAGATCAGGGCTGGCCCAGCAGCTGTGCCCAGCAGCAGCAGCACTTGGTGTTGCCAGTGCTGCTGCCATGGCCCTGCCCCACTGCCCTGGTAGCCCTGGTGTTGCTGTAGGGCCTGAGTGCTCTCGGGGCCTGGCACAGCCCTGGAGGTGGCAGTGCCAGGGCTGCAGCAGAGACAGGCCAAGTAATATAAATAATTTGTAATATAAATCATCTTGGATAGTTCTTTTGGATTTGTCCTTTTTTTCCCTGTGTTTTAGTTTTTTATTATTGTCCACAAAGTAAAACCATTGTTTGTGCCATTTCTCATTTTGTTTCTCTGCACCATCCCTGTGTCCACAGACTGTGTCAATGAGGGGCTGTGTTCTTGGTGTCTTTAAAGGAGCTAAATGATCTCCCAGCAAAGTTTTCTGCAGTGATCCCCTTGTGTTCCCTATTCTGGAGCTGCAGCAGCACTGTCTGAGTGCAGAGCATGGGCCAGATCAGTGCTGAGTCCATCAGCTCTGATCCTGCTGGCCACACCATTCCTGATCCAGGCCAGGAGCCACTGGCCTTCTTGCCCACCTGGGCACACTGCTGCCTCATGTCCAGCCTGCTGTCCAACAGTGCCCCAGGTCTCCTTCTGTCTGGCTGCTGTCCAGCCACTCTGTCCCCAGCCTGTAGCACTGCAGGGGTTATTGTGGCCGAAGTGCAGGACCCGGCACTTGGACTTGTAAAACCTCACCTTGTGGGATTTGGGCCCTGGATCCAGCCTGTCCCAGGCACTGTGCAGAGCCCTCCTACCCTCCAGCAGATCAACATTCACACCCAGCTTAGTGCCATCTGCAAGTTTGCTGATGCTGGACTCAATCCCCTCATCCAGACCATTCCATGCAGACATTGGAATCCACACTGGCTGGCTCTGATCCCTCGGCCATCCTGTGGGTGCCCTGTGATGGCACTCAAGGTGATCTGTTCCATAACCTTGCCGGGCACCCAGGTCAGGCTGAAAGGCCTGGAGTTCCCCAGCTCCTCCTTCCAGCCCTTCTTGGGGATGGGCTCACATTGGCACCTCCAGTCCCCTGGGACCTCCCTGCTGAGCCAGCACTGATGGTAAATGATGGAGAGCAGCTTGGGGAGCTCATCCACCAGCTCCCTTATCCCCCTAGGATGGATCCCATCTAGTCCCAGAGACACCTGTGAGCATCTGAGTGGCTCAGATGGTCCCCAGCTGCTTCCTTCTGGATTACAGGGGCTGTTCTGCTCCCTGTGCCCATCTGCCAGCTCAGGAGAACACTTGTCCTGAGGAAAACCTGTGCTAATATCGAAAATTGAGAGAAACAAGGTGTTAAGTAGCTTAGCCTTTTCTTTATCTTTAGTTACTCTATTTCCACTGCATCCAAAAAAAAAGAAGATGTTCTCCTCATCCCATGTTTTGCTATTAATTTATTTGTAATAACATTTTTTATTATTTTTTACAGAAGTGGCCAGGTAATGCTCTAATTGAGCTTTCGCTTCTCAACTTTTCTTTCTGCATCACCAAATAACATTCTTAAACACTTTCTAAGTTTCATGACCTTCTGTCAAAAGTTGCGTCCTCTTTTTTCCCCTGAGTTCCCATAAAAGCTCCATGGGCAGCCAGGCCAGTCATTTTCCTCACCATCTCATCTTCTGCCACACTGGGACAGGCTTCTCCTTCCCCCTTAAGATTACTTTCTTGACATGAGTCCATGTTCCCAGTCCCCTTTGTTTTTAAGGGCTGTTTCTCTTTCAGAAAATCAGTACTTATTTGGTACTCCCCAAATCTGCATCCTAAATAGGCCAAAGTCTGCCCTTCCTAATTCCAGTGTGGAAGTTTGGTAGCTGCCCCTCCTTCTTTCACCGAACATTGAAAGCTTGATTATTCATGGTCACAGGCAGCCTCTGAGCCCCACATCTGCCACCAGCCCTTCTCTGTTTGTGAACAGCAGGAGATAGAGCTTTCCTTGGCAGTGGGAATGTTACCAAAAATTCAGTAAAACAGAAAACTCCTTAACACCAATGCAGCATTAAGAAGTAGCATTCTTTATTCAGCTGGAGGCACTGGTGATAGCTCCTCCCAAAGCCCTGCATGCTGAGCACAGGAAAGTTTCTGTTTATTTTCTGTATTTTGCTCACATATTCTTTGATTTTCCTGGACTAAACACACATATGATAGTCATTTCCCCAAAATCATTAACACATTTTCCCTCCAGTTTTGCATGCATTCTTCTTTCCTGGGGGTCTCTCTGGTGGTCTGGTGGTTGTGGAGCCCAGTGTTCCAGTGGCCCTGGCTGAGCTGGCAGGACACTGAGGCTGCTGAATTTCCAGTTCCTTTCTCACACAATGGGCATTGTGTGGCTTCCATAGGCCTGGGGTTGTGGAGAACAAGCTCCAGGGGTGAGCTCACCTGGTGTAGACAATTTATCATCTGTGATCCATGAGATCACAGAGTAGGCTATGACATCACAGAGTGGGGTATGTGAGGTCATTGAGAGCTATGACATCATAAACTGCCTCTTAGACATAACAGAGCCAGCTGTGACATCACAGGGCAGAGGTCTGACATCACAGAGAAGACTATGATATCACAGAGCAGACTATTACATCACAGAGTTCACAGTAACAGCAGAGACCAGCTGTGTGACATTAGAGGATGGGCTGTGACATCACAGAGCAGGCTGTGACATCCCAGAGGGGCTGTTTGACATCCCAGCAGGGCTGTGTGAGGTCACTGGGTTGGTCACTCCGCCCCAGCTCCCCCTCACAGTTTCTCCCAACAAGTCCAATGCTGTTCATGTCCAGCAGGGTCCCCCCCGGGATACCCCCGGCCCACCTGGAGCCACAGCCTCCACCAAAGGATGTTCCACAGGATCCACCCCAAAGCTTGACAGGGGACAAGGGGCCAGGGCTGTATGACCAGGACATCAAGGATGTTGTTATCTTATTGTATTCCGTATTTCTAGAGTCCCATACTGTTGCAATCATATATAAAGTCCATACCTTCTTGCTGGTTTTCTACCATGCAGTTCTTCTCTGTAGCACAGTTCCTCATGGTTTCACAGGGGCTCCTCCTGGGCTCTTGACCGACCCCTTGTATCCCAGCTATCTTTATGAACCACAGCTGCTGCCCAACTATGGACTTTGCAGCAGTGACTCATTTAGAATAGCTAGGACCCACTTGTCTAATACATAGGACTCTCACTACATTTCAGTTGTTGTATTCTTATTGCTGTTATAGCAATACATATATTCAGGCCCCCACACAAGAACCTGGATTATCCAGGTCACTGTGGCCTGGGTGGGGTTCCCCAGGGCAGGAAAGATGTCTGGCAGCTGTAGCAGGGTCTGGGAAGGGCCTCCAAGGTGGGGCTGGAGCCCTTGGGCTGTGAGCAGAGGCTGAGGGAGCTGGGCTTGTCCAGCCTGGAGCAGGGAAGGCTGAGGGGCTCCTCATCCCAGCCTGGCAGTGCCAGCGAGGAGGGGATGGAGAACACAGAGCCAGGCTCTTCACAGGGGGCCTGGGGGGAGACAAAAGCCAATGGGTGGAAGGGGAAAGAGGGGACATCAGCCAGGGCATGAGGAGATGAAATGAGTCAGGCTGGTTTCAGCATTTCCTCAACACCAAGAGCAGCCTGACTTCCCTTCTCCATCCACCACTGACAGCTTTCCAAATCAGGAATTGTTTGAGCTGTTTTGCTCCCACTCCAGGACAAGCATCCTGATACAAGAACTCATTTGTGTGTATATCTATCACAGAACCACGTTTGTCTAAAATTACTTTTAGTATGGAAATCACTTGTGTTTGGAGGACTCATCAGACACTGCTGGGACATTGCACATAGCTCAGGGAAGAGCAAGATTGTTATTAAATTATGTCTTCTTCAAGTGTGGTCTGTTGGCCATGAAGAGAAATTTTCTTTGCCTCTGAGTCTTACCAGTTCCTAGTCCTCAAAGGACCCAAATCTGATGAGTGGTGGTTCCCACTCCAGTGATGGCACTTCCTCATCCCTCCATGCACAGAGCAGAGCTCCCTTGTCCCAAAAAGTCCCTGGCAATGCAGGGATGAAGGAAACAGGACAGGCTGTGGGGATCAGGGGCAGGGCAGGGCCAGGGATTTGGGCCCTTGAGCTCTCAGCACCGCAGGCAGAGGGGAGCAGGGCAGCCAGGGAGCCTCCTTTGGCCTTGGCCCAGCACATTCCCCCATGGTGGGGCTGAGTCCTGTGGCAGCTGCAGCTGCTGCTGTGCCCTTGCCAGGGGCTGAGGCCGTGGGGCAGTGCCCAGAGCAGCCTGGCCTGAGCAGAGCTGTGGGGGCAGAGCTGGCTGGGCTGGGCTGGGGAAAGGCCCTTGGTGCTGCCCAGAGCTCAGGGCAGCTGGCAGAGCTTGCAGGGAGCTGGGCTGGGGTCAGAGAGCCTGGCCCAGAAACCATCAGTGTCCATCTCAGCCTGGCTGAGTGTGCAGGGGCAGGACTCAGGCCAGGCCTTGTGGGGCAGGGCCAGCACCTGTGCAAGGCATTGCAAACAGGCAAGTGGCCCAGAGAGGAGGCTGCTCTGTGTCCTTGGTGGCATGGACAGAGCAGGGAGGGGGCCCAGAACATTTGTCAGTGCCAGCCTCTGTGCCCAGCCCTTGGCAGCCCTGGTTGCTGAGCCCAGCTTTGGCCTGGGCTGAGTTTGGCTGTGGCCCAGCTCCATCCTCCTCCGGGGCTCAGGGCCTGTTCCCAGCCATGGCCAGCCCTGGCTGCCTCTCTGCTGGCCCAGAGGCTGGCAGAGCCTGGGGCAGGGCTGTCTGTGCAGCCCCACAGGTGCCAGGGGCTCTGCAGGAGCTGGCAGAGGCTGCCCAGCAAGGAGGCCATGGGACACAGAGCCCCAAGGCTGCCGTGGGCACCACGGCACAGGGGCCGTTCC